TCAAAAGAATCTGGAAATCACAAGGTGAACAAGTCAACCTATCCCTTAATCAAACCATATAATCTTCGAGAACCTAGCACACGCCAACATAGTCGGGTTGCCATGATGACTGGAGCATGCGAAAGAGTAAATTGCTGAAGCATGAGTGTGATTAAACACTAGCCAGTGATTATATAATTTTCGCTGCTGATGGTACAGGCAGTCAAGCGTGTTGCCATAATGCCCTTAAGAAAAGAGGAATAGGTTTCACGAAATACACTCATTTGCAAACAAATTTGGTTTTAACGTGGGACTCACCTGGAACCCAGCTAAATCACTCGTTTGTGATGTTTCCAGGCAACTGAATGAATAATTTTCAGCCAACACAATTTGTGATATCAAAATCGGCAAGTTGTATGTTTAAAAGAGGGATTGAATAAAAGACAGATTAGTGTATGCCTGAACACCCCTGCGATACTGTTACTACGTCTATTGCAGATACTGTGTTTCTGGTTAATTGCATGTCGTGCACTAGATTTCCTAACAAAATCATGGTTGCTATAAAAATATACTTATTTGTCATTCTTTACGGACTGAACAGGATCAAGGTGGAAGCGAATAAGGAGAGATCAATATCTTTCTGATAATTTAGCATTTGAGGGCATGGATAAAAAAGATTAGCTAAAATTAAATAAGTAGTTTGTCACATATGAATCAAAAGGTATGGCCATCTATTTTTGAGCAAAACTCCATTTTAAAGAGGTGAGACGCACAACATCAACGACTTGGTTTTTCAACATAATTTGGTTTCACTTACAGGCCGAAATGTTTACCAGTCCCCTCACACCGAAAACGATTTTCGGAAGTGATTCGTTCCGCGGTTACTCTCTCCGTTTGCGCTTTGTACCCCGGTATCATTTTCTGCTCTATCTATGGGAATCTGCAGCGCCTATACAAAACTGGGCATGCTTATTAGAGATTAGACACTATTTTATTTTTCAGACCCAAGTATGCGAGGAGAGAGGAACCAAAACAAGTACGATATCCGTGTTCATTTTTGTAAACCAGATTTCGGAATGTGAATGAATGTCACTAAAAGAATGTACACTGAAACCGATATCTGAATAGCGAAGCAGTTTGACTTTGGCCACTTTTATTGACATTAATCCTTCGACAATCCTATGCAAATAAGTTAAATAAATGTAAGTTGTTGTGATCTTCTTTACAAACATGCGAGTTGATAAATAGGAAATTCGAATTAATAATCTGTCATGCAACAGATAGCTTTTGTCGCAGTGCTGTGAATTCAACATATCTGGTCAGCTGTCGACAGAATATCATTTCAAAGCGAATGAGAACACGTCCTCAAATCTCAAGCAAGTCAGTATGCACACTGAATGACAAAAATATTATGGCTTTTGAAATCCAAAGTCCACCTTTACGTACCGAAAGTCCTGATTAAATGGCGATTTCGAAAACTCATATGCAAATGAAAATTTCTTCCATTGCTGCAGTGTGTCTACTTTGTCACAAACCAAAAGGGGATGATGAATTTAGACAAATACATTCATTTGCATATCAATTCGGTTTCGATGTTAGGCTCACCTGAATCTCTAGATTATGAGGTAGCCTGATGCAGTACATTCTGTTTCTTACGAAAATCACAAACGGTTCAGCTTGGTTCTAAGTGTGCCCCGCGTCAAAGCCATATTGGTATACAGATGAGCGTATAAGTCGAATTTTGTGCAATCCTGGTTCAGGTGGAGCATAAGATTGATGATTGAGCATAAGATTTGACAGCAAAATCAGTTGCTTGTTTCCGATAAGTAGTGCGTTTGTTCAACTGTTTCTTAAACTCATCAAGAATTCATCGATACGGCCTGGAGAAAACCTCTTTAACCCCGCTCTCTTGGACCTAGCATTGCGGTCCAAATAGGGACTAAGCAATGGTTTTCAGCCTCTGGCATTTCATTGTGCATCTCATTGTCGAGTTTGCAAACAATAAAATGTCTGCTCACTGTCACACCGCTCTCGCTTGAACGGTCGTCCTTCTGTTCTGGCGGTGAATCCGGTGAGTTCCGGTGAGTCCACACCAAAGGAAAGCACTGGACTCGAGTTTCGCACTTATTAGCGCTCATCAGCAGTGCGGGGATTTGAACCGCGAACATGTAACCTCTACTCCACCGACTCACGTTAGACACATCTGAATTCCTACATCTCAACAGGGCAACGTGTTCACACTTGAACGATGTGGCTGGTGTACCCGACTCATTGAAAGACGATGCAATAGCTGTCCTGGCTGTGACCATCGATTAACCCGCCAGTCAGGACTTCTCAGGCAGCTGTGGCTGGTGTACCCGACTCATTGAAAGACGATGCAATAGCTGTCCTGGCTGTGACCATCGATTAACCCGCCAGTCAGGACTTCCCAGTCAGGCAGCTTGACACACGCTTGAAACCCAGTGGGCATCTTTTAGGTTGCAGTTTGTGATTTTGCGCTCAGGTACTTTGGGGACAGCCACTTGCATGTTTTTTTAACTTATAGCAGGGTTTACTCTTGATCGCAGGCTGAAGAGTCAGCCAATACTGCCGTCTGACGTAATTGCCCACTTAATGTGTTATGCCCAAAGCAATTGTGTCCACAACAAATCTCACTGTGAACGTAACCCTTCTTTACCACTTCATTAATATGCATTCAAAGTATCCAAGTTCTTCAAAAGCTTCATCTCTTTTTTACTGCTGGAAATTTAAGCGAACAGGGTGAATCAAGCTACTTATGTAGTATGGAGAGTGTAGTTTGGCGCCGAGGTAGCAAGCAGTTTTATGCGGTCCTCAAGAACTTCCAGCAAGATACAATGATAAACATGGTAACTGAGAGGAAGAGTCTTTAAAAAGCAAACTACAACAGAACACTGTCTGACAAGTAGCTTTTGCACGTTGCGCAGTTACACACATTTATTCTGCTTTATATATTCGTTCATGCAGCTTACAGGTGAACGGTTGACTTCAGATTTCGTGACACACCAGATTGCACCAGGTGTCACATCCACGTGCACAGTCTTTCGCCAGATGCCTTTGTTTGGACGCAATAGTTTCGGTGAACTTAAATTGTAACTAAATGTTCTTGAGCTGTTGTTACACTCTGAGTTATTTTTCTTGGCATATCACCTGTGCAGCGACACGTACGCACGTCGGTATATACGATGACCTTAACGATTCTAATACCAGGTGCCACCCGGTATTTCTAAGAACTTGTAAGCTGTGACGACTGAATCACTAACAAAAAACTCAGCTGTTCAGATTTTAGCGTCGTACGGTGTGTACTCAAGTTTGTTAGTGCTGATAAACTTTCAGCATGATGTAAACAGAATCCATAGGTGACAATATTGTCCTCGCAATTCATATGGAATAATCCTGAGCTCATGACGTACTGTTAAACTCGGATATCTTCACACAGTTTTAAGCCTCAAGGAAAACTCACCCGCCTTCATACCATAAGCTACATTGTTCGTGTGTTCATGAATGCAGCTTCATTTGTTTCTCAAAACCTCCGTGTCCGCGAAGCCAGCACATTCTGCTATTCCTAGAGTCTTCAAATCCTTGCATTCAAACGTTTGCCTGAAGAAAGTAGATCATTGAAAGACGATGCAATAGCTGTCCTGGCTGTGACCATCGATTAACCCGCCAGTCAGGACTTCCCAGTCAGGCAGCTTGACACACGCTTGAAACCCAGTGGGCATCTTTTAGGTTGCAGTTTGTGATTTTGCGCTCAGGTACTTTGGGGACAGCCACTTGCATGTTTTTTTAACTTATAGCAGGGTTTACTCTTGATCGCAGGCTGAAGAGTCAGCCAATACTGCCGTCTGACGTAATTGCCCACTTAATGTGTTATGCCCAAAGCAATTGTGTCCACAACAAATCTCACTGTGAACGTAACCCTTCTTTACCACTTCATTAATATGCATTCAAAATATCCAAGTTCTTCAAAAGCTTCATCTCTTTTTTACTGCTGGAAATTTAAGCGAACAGGGTGAATCAAGCTACTTATGTAGTATGGAGAGTGTAGTTTGGCGCCGAGGTAGCAAGCAGTTTTATGCGGTCCTCAAGAACTTCCAGCAAGATACAATGATAAACATGGTAACTGAGAGGAAGAGTCTTTAAAAAGCAAACTACAACAGAACACTGTCTGACAAGTAGCTTTTGCACGTTGCGCAGTTACACACATTTATTCTGCTTTATATATTCGTTCATGCAGCTTACAGGTGAACGGTTGACTTCAGATTTCGTGACACACCAGATTGCACCAGGTGTCACATCCACGTGCACAGTCTTTCGCCAGATGCCTTTGTTTGGACGCAATAGTTTCGGTGAACTTAAATTGTAACTAAATGTTCTTGAGCTGTTGTTACACTCTGAGTTATTTTTCTTGGCATATCACCTGTGCAGCGACACGTACGCACGTCGGTATATACGATGACCTTAACGATTCTAATACCAGGTGCCACCCGGTATTTCTAAGAACTTGTAAGCTGTGACGACTGAATCACTAACAAAAAACTCAGCTATTCAGATTTTAGCGTCGTACGGTGTGTACTCAAGTTTGTTAGTGCTGATAAACTTTCAGCATGATGTAAACAGAATCCATAGGTGACAATATTGTCCTCGCAATTCATATGGAATAATCCTGAGCTCATGACGTACTGTTAAACTCGGATATCTTCACACAGTTTTAAGCCTCAAGGAAAACTCACCCGCCTTCATACCATAAGCTACATTGTTCGTGTGTTCATGAATGCAGCTTCATTTGTTTCTCAAAACCTCCGTGTCCGCGAAGCCAGCACATTCTGCTATTCCTAGAGTCTTCAAATCCTTGCATTCAAACGTTTGCCTGAAGAAAGTAGATTTTAGTTTGTGCAACAGTAAAACACTGTTATTTCATATATAGATATATATATATATATATAACGAGAAATACTCCTACCGGCTTTTTTCTGTATGGACTTTTGAGGCCATTTTTATAGCATGCACGACAAACCCATTTTTAACTAAAAAGACCAACCTGACAGATAATTGCCTATTATCCGCCATCTTCCTATTCCGTCTGTTTGCAGGCTTTTTATACTACATCAGTCCAACAGTTAACCCGATCCTATACAGCCTGATGTCAGTTCGATTTCGTCGGGCATTTTTGGCTGTATTTTGCACCAAAAAGCACACCAGACAGCCCAGACGACAGCCTACACTGAAGAACACGTGCATCAACGTCTCCTACGCACCACGCTGTGAGCACTCTCAAGCCAGTTCGTCACAACGTCACGAACGTTTCATTTCGATACAATGACTACAGCTGCGGTCCGTCCTGAATAAAATTTTATACTGTATTGCTTAACCACGTGGTTTTTTCTGGGCCAAGTTTTCCGAAGGTTAATGACTGGGCAAAGGAAACTTGAGGTAAATAGGCAAATATCCCATTCCGTCGAAAACGCGCAACATTGGAAACGTGCAACGAGTCACGAAAACTGTTATTCTCTCGTGACGTTTTTTTTCGGGACAGAGATCTGTGACATCCAATTGCGCTCGATTGTTTTAAATGAAACAAAACGACCTGCTTCCTTTTCTGATATCTCTAATGTAAGATGGTTTATTCTGGCAGAAGACTGAATAGTATAAAACCATAGGAATTCCGAGAGAACAGACCGAGAAATCACTTCACGTGATCACACCAGAAGGTATGATTTGAGCAAACAAATGAAAAAAGATAGCGGTCGTTCAACGGTCGGTGTACGGTTTTACCAAAATTAGGTTTCCTGGCTGATGGCGTGTTGTCTTCACGCGAAAACTACCAACCAAGCTGACGTCAAAAGCAGTTTTTTTTGTATTTTCTTTTAACTTCCCTCTACTAATGATAATACAAATTAGAACTGGAATCGCGTCGCGTCCAAATCACATGTTGAGCGCATGAGCAACGTTATCTATCTTAAGTCAGTCATACCCTACTTGTTCGTTGCGGAACATAACAGATGTTGGCAGGCTGCAGGTTTGCGAATGTTCGAATGTGGAAGAATTGGAATGAGCATGCAAACGTATAAGGTAAAGCATTAGACTCAAACTCGTGGTATTATAGAAAAAACATTGCAAACTACTAGGTTTAAATATTGCAGTCATAGGAACGATGCTTAGTAAAATAACATGACTGTGTTCTAGTGCACGGTCAGCTCATTTTAACACAGGCTTCATCCCGTCAGTAGAGGCAAACTATACTGAAAGGACGAGGTTCACTGTATGGCAGTGTCATTTCTTATTGGGAACATTCAGCAATGTGCACACCAGTGCTGCTCAGGGACTTTCTAACCCGTTACCGCTTGGCCAGTAGTTGAACACTATTCTGCTTCGAAAGGCTGAACTGCAGTGTGATTGGCTTTCACTTAGACAAGATATAGCGCCAATCACCCTTCCGTTAAGGAAACCACATCACGTGTTCACGCACTGACCTTGCTCAGTACAGTCCGCATTAGGAGCAGAGCAATCAAAAGGATGAGGATGCGTGCTAGTTGGTGCCGACACTGAAATAATCAACGTGACTGCGGCCACGGTTTTTAGCACCATACATACTATCCGACTTATTTTCGTTTACAAAAAACGCAGTGATCAGATCCAGTTAGCAGGATTGCTGGGCGACCTATGTTTTCTGCATGTTTGTTTGAAAAATCCTTTGTGGAGGCGATGATTCCCAGTCCCCTGCAGCAGTGGGAACTGTGGAGAGAAAATTGCTTGCTAGCACGTTAGCTTTACGAACGTTACTGTATCTATTGGGTCACCAAATGAAGCACCCTGTCTAGGCCATACGAAAGTAGAACGTATGATTTCGTGGTCTGAAGTTGACATGAAGCGTCATGCCTAAATTCACTTACCCAGTTCGCTAACTCAACTGTAATGGACCGTCTTTAAACCAAGTGGTATGGCTCCGGTGGGCTCAACGTAACCCGAAATGGATAAGGGAACGATGGTCTCAAATTTCGGACGAAACTCAGTTTGGGTCTGCCATCGTAGTGAAGAAAAACTACGTAGTACGTTGACATTTTTTAGCCATCAACTATTGTTTCTACTAATCGAAACGACTGAAAGTTTTTTGAAATTCTCTCTGAAGAACGACCACGACGAGGGTCCACGGAACGGTTGAAAACGCGACTTGAAATGTTCAGTGGAAATGCCTTGACCCTCGGTTCACCATTTGAAATATTTTTCTACCAAAATATCCTTTAGGTTTCTGCATACTGAAATAATTTTACTCATTAAATCTCCCCTTGGCATCTCTTGAGTCTTGCCTATATTTCGAGAGGTTTCAGTTCACTGAAAAACTACCGAAAGCGGTTTGTGATATGCTCTGGTAAAAAGTGAAAAACACTACTCGGGTCCAAACAACCAAGTTTTGTAACTGAACCTATTTGCTCCTATAGACATTCTCGACTGCATTGCACTCATGGTTTTCGAGAGTCAAAAAACTAATTTAGTGGGGGCACCTATGAAATTCGAAAAGACTGTTCTTTTGAACGGGTATCATTTTTTAAGTTATATCGGTGTTGAATTTGATACCTGGTCCGTTGGGCTGATGATTATGACTTTGTATCGACGGTCAGAAAATGGTTAACTAGCATTTTTGGGAACTCAAAAAGATTCAAACCATTTGCATGGAACTAAAACCAGATGTTGATGGTGAAGCCTGGGTCAAATTTTGTGAATTCTATCATGCAATAATTTTTTGCACGTTGGGGTTCAGCAGTGAGCTCAAACGCACTTTGTTTACGAGTAAGTCTTTATATACAATACCGTTATTGAAGTTTTTTTTGTTTTAAACTTTAAATTTGTTGTAAAATTTTGTGTTTAGTGTTTCAACGTTTTGATTACTACAGATAAGATGAGTCTTTCAAAGCGATTACTGTTAAATTTTTATATAGCATGCAACCCCAACCGATGAATTTGTGCGGACTTGTGCTACGTTGTGGTTCATACAGTCTCTGGCTGTTCTTATCAACATGTTTTCCAAACGATACTAAAAATATATGATAATTCGCCTATTTTTGCCCTAAACGGTTTGTCTGGTTTGACATAGCTAATCAAAATGGAACAACAAAAAAGCTGTGGGTTTTTACTTAATTTAGGCATTCACACTAGTTGAAACCTATTATGATCTTACTGGAACTTTCAAAGGAACACAGAGATTCAGCATCATCAAACCTGCGTACGTCAAGAAACTCTTTAGTAATCAGTCTTCAAATGGATTCCATGACCTGGTAATCTTCATTTTTGGTCGAATAAAGCCCGTAGCAAACCCTATGACTTTTTGCGTACCTCTTTGGTAATTTGAAGAATAGCGTTGTAGTCATGGCTACTTGAATGAAAAAGATAACCCAACATCGATGCTTACTGATCGATATTTATTGAGCGTCATTCCTCTCTAAAGAACGATTGCGAATGGAGGTTATCTTCCTTGCTTGCCAAGATTCATCTCTGAAAAATGCCTTCATTTAGCCTGGGTGTCTTGATAATACAGTGGTAGCAACGTAATACAGATTAATTTAAGCCGGTCACTCAAATGATTACTCCAAAATTTGATGGGGTTCTTAAATAGACAGAATGATTTTTTATGGTCGACTTCAGTTAACTTCGTATTCTTAGTTAAATCCCCTGGAAAGAGTACTTTATTCAAGTAGGAAACTAACAATAAATTTTACAAGCACCACATATTTCTAATTTCCAAACTATTCAAAGATTATGCTCAATCCATATTACTAAGTACTTTTTTGAAATAACGGCAAGTTCTGACAGATTGCGTAGTGCAGGGCAGTTGTGCTGTCAACTTGTCCCAATATTCTTAAACCATTTCTATCTTACGATGAGTCAGGAATTGGAAGGTAAAAGAGTGATGCCGATGCTAATTTCTCAACCTACTCAATAAAACGGGGAAAGGAATTTTGAGGACTGCTTGATTCAAATTTTTGGTCTTCTGGCAACTTGCTCGGAGCAGTCCTAGGACGTGTGCAAATACACCATTCTGCTCTGTATCTGAACAGTCCTGCCTCCGCCGGCAAGTTTTGTCCGCCTGGTAATCCTGGAGTTTTTATACCATCGTACATACTCACAAAGAGGAAAGACGATAGGGCTTTTTATGTGTAAATTTTACCCTCCGGAAAAAAATCACACCCCTTTTTTTCATACACACCACAATACGGCCCAGGTAGCGCCTACTTGGATTGTCACGTAATTATCAGCCGCTGAACGATAATGCTGATGAACAGAGTGATGTGTTCTGCCGCCCATTATCTTCAATTTGATGAATTAGATAAGTCTGTTCTCGAAAGTTCAGTAACAAACAATGCAAACAATAACACTACTTGAGTAATAAAATAACTGGGGTTATTGGAATTGTTCTCATTATTGGTTAAAGAATGAAACCCGAGAGTAGAATACAGCTTACTAATGGCCAGGTAACCTCACTTGTTTTGATAGCCAGCTAATAGGACTATCTTGGCAGGCAACTGGTTAACGGCACTGAGAAGAAGAACGCAGAGTATGCTGCCTTTAGCCTCTCATCTCTATGCTGAATTACTGTAACACGGAGTGCTGGTGAAAATTAACGCAATATATGGATTGTCTATGCTACGTCTTGAAGGTAATAATTCAGAATGGGGTCAAAATTTAAGATTTGCAGTTGAAAAATCAGAACCTGCAAGATGGTCTAAATACGGTGGAAGTGAAGTATTCTTAGCTAAAAAATTTTACACAGTTTCATACAGTTCCACTAATTGTTGTAGAAACGTACTGTACTTTAGTGGCCTAGAAACGGACATTTTAGTTCACTGTGGCTGACGACCCATTCTAAATTCTGACCTCTGTCCTCTTTCTTTAGCTAACAGTTAATCCGCCACCACTCTTAAATATATTGGTTCAGAAATATGTGCACAAATCTGGTCATCACCTGACGTTTCCACCACATGGTTAACGACCCTGGTAACAATACAGTCAAGAAGAAACCGCCGTGTTTCAAAGATAGGCGAGTAACTGGTAATTCTGCCGGTGCACCTTCTTTTGTCATCGTTTAGGGACCCACCAGTGAGTCGTTACAGTTTTGAGCAAGTTCACTCGCCAACTGCATCAGCGCAAAATGCTTACATGTTACATTAAGTTGAATTCGGGGCATATTTTTCTTGACCTTTGCAATGCGCGTAATTCCTTTAGTCTGGCAATTGTGGATCGGAAAATCCGATCGGGATATCGGCCACTCATCATGTTCTACAATGACTCAAATGCTTCAGCTAAATTGATGGCTGTGGACATGGTCAT